AAATAGAGATCTTAGTTTCAGAGTTATATCAGCAATTTATTCTGTTACCTCGTGTAAATGATATCTTATTTTCTCCGTTCTCAATTGATAAAATTGCATTATGTGGTTTTTTAGACTGTTTGAACTGGTCTAACAAAATAGTACAGATTGAGTGGCTGGGGGAAAAAACTAAATTTGTTTCTCATAGTTCTGAAGCTGGAGGTCTGAGGTCAGGATGTCCATGTGGTCAGGTAAGGGCCCTCCTCTAGGTCACAGGCTTCCCTTTTATCTTAACATGGTGGACTGGGCAACAGCTCTCTCCAAAATCCCTTTATATGTATGACCTTGTTGAAATCTCATCCATGAGGGCTCTGCCATCATGATCTAATCACCCCAAAGACTCTATTTATAACACCATCAACATGTAAGTTTGGGGACACAAAAATTATGGCAGCGTTCTTTAACCTTTTAATCATTGTAGTTTTATTTTGTATTTCCCTGAATACTAATACATTTTCATCTTCATACATTTAATCTTTTTGAGATGCTGTCTTTGAGAAATTTCTCTTCAAGACTTTGTCCAAGTTAACTATGTCGTTTCTCTTTTGACTTCTGTGTAGGAGACTATTACTGTACTTTAGCCATAGCTGTAGAGGAAACTCTCCCCAGTTTCAGGATTTAATGCATCTGCATCTCTTGATTCTATGGTTTGGCAAACAGCTTGCACTCAGCTCGGCTGTTGTCCTCTTGGCTGGGCTCTCTTGTGCATTTTCAGTGCAGAACAGCTCAGCAGTTCTGCTTTAGCAGGTAGATGTGGCTCTTGTCAGAGGATTCTGAACACTTCTCTGTATAGTTTTTTGTATATAATTGGCTAGAATAAGGCAACTAACCTGGTCTTCATCTCAGCACTATTGTATGATTGCCAGTCAGTGGGGAAAAATCTCTTCCTTTGGGATTGCAGAGTTGGACACACTAAGCGACTGAATAACACCAAGTGTCCATATTTTCCACAGATTTTCGTTGTCAATTCTGTCATATATCAAGTATCCATAAGTATATTTCTTCCCACTCTTTTCTATTTAACTATTCAGTTTTCTGTACTGTGTTACTAAAGCAAAAAATAAGTCTTGCTTTTCAGTATGGTACATTCTTCTATTTTAAGGATATCTTGACTGCTTTTGACTAGCTCTTCTCTGATTTAATATCAGTATCACTATACTGACTTCCACAAGAGTATATGTGTTTAAGTCTTTGGTTCATGTTGCATTGAAACATGAGATCACTTTGGAGAAAATGAATTTCTTTATAAAATTGAGCTTTCCACTTCATTATTATGATATACATTTTTAATAACTTGTTGTTCCTTAATGTTTAAGCACTTTTCATAACTTTCTCCACAAAGGCATTTATATAGTTCTTTTTTAGATTCAATCATAGATAATGAATAATTTGATATCAGATTCCTGAACAGGCGTTCACGGGGAGCCTCCTCCCCACACTGCTTCAGGTGAATGCTGAAGCGTGCTGGTGAGAGGCAATCAGTCTAATGCCATCTCAGCTTCAGTATCGAGTCAGGAGTGTCTAAAGCAGTGTGTTTGGAAAAGAACGATTTTAGATTTTTTGTTTTTTGTCTCAAGTAATTCACTTAGAAAGATAAGTGACTGATGTGCTGTAATGTTTTTGAGGTGGACAGAGAAGGAGAAGGTGTGGGAAGGAGAGGTGAGAACTCAGCAGAGGGTCCTAGGTTGCTCACCTGGAAGCTGAGGACAGACACAGCTTCCCTGTCCCCTCTTCTTGTCTCCATCCAGCTGGAAAGTCCTCCAGTCCCCAGGGGAAGGCTGGCTCCTTGAAGAAGAGACTAACGTGATTGTTCCTTCCTTCCAGGTGTTTGACTTTGAACTGACTTCAGAAGATGTTAAAGCAATTGATGGCATCAACAGAAATATGAGATATTATGAATTTCTACAGTAAGTGACTTGCAGGTGTTTCACACATGCACTGTTTTCTGTAGCAGGGAGGCCAGCAGGGGAACTAAGCTTTTTAAAAGCTTAATTCTAGGAAGACAGTTCTGATTTCCAGCTTAGGAATCTACCAGGGGCTTTTTACAGACCTCAGACCAGAGGTTTCCTCCAGGGCTCCATTTCTTACCAACAGAAATGTGGTTGGGGCTCAGGACAGCCCATCAGTAAAATCCCCTGAATTGACATTGTGGTGAATTCACTACTTTGTACCCCTAATCCCTGTGCCTGGTGCACCTCCTCTCAGGTTTGAGGGACCCAGTAGACACAGAGGGCACAGTGCCTGCAGCTCAGTGTTCTTTCAGTGTTCTTTGAACATGTTTAATCTTTATTTCTTTTTACACCAGGGGAAGATTATTGTATTAATAATAACTGTATAATAATGAATCCATCATGAATTGCATTCAAGTTTGTTGTTGTTTTTAGTCACTCAGTCATTTCCAACTCTTGGTACCCCATGGACTGTAGCCCACCAGGCTCCTCTGTCCCTGGGATTTCCCAGGCAAGAATACTGAAGTGAGTTGCCATTTCCCTCTCCAGGGGATCTTGCTGACCCAGGGATCAAACCCGTGTCTCCTGCTTTGCAAGTGGATCCTTTACCACTGAGTCACCTAGGAAGCCTGCAATCATGTTAACCCCAACATAACTATAAAATGTATTGTTGATGTTTTTATGGAGGAGGGTCCATCAGTGCTATGATGTCACATGGGCCTGCCTCCACCCTGTCCCCTAAGTGTCTGGTGGACATTCTCCTTAATAGGCATTTATTCACCAAGACACTATCCATTTCTTTCAAATCGATCTCTTCATTGCCCTTTCTTCCCTATTACAACTCCCATGTCCTCATCCTTGTTATCTCACAAAACTGAGTTACTAGATCAAGAGCTTAACTGACTCCCCAGTAAGTGACTGCTTAGTAGGACACACTCAGCTAAGATCATCTGGATCTCTTTGGTTTCTTGAGTCAAGACTCACACCAGTGTTGTATTTGTCCATCAGGGGTCTATCCCTTGGGGGCCCCTACCTTCTTGACTTTGATTTAGTCACTAACATGTGATTTCAGCTGCTTATTTACTGCATGAGGATGTCAGATTGAAGAGACAGAAGACTGATCAAATAGGGAGAATTTGGAAGGGAGTTTAGAGAGAAGGGAATACCAATTATTGGCGAAACAAAGATTTTTGTCTCCAATGAGAGATCTCAAAACTCTCCCTATTGTTTGTATAGCTGTATCATGCTTCTGATAAAAGACTTGATAATTGAAAAAAAAAGGTGGGAAGTTACTTTTCTGTACTTAAAGGGTTTTAAGTATAGTTTTATATTTTCCTTCATTAGGCTGTGAATGCCTAGACTTATTTATCTTTGTGGGTTCAGGTCCACAGCCTGGCTCCTGGCACCTGGAATTGCTTAGAATGCATTCTTTAATGAATTGAATTGAAAAAGACAAATTCTGAAAAAGTAAAAACATGGAAAAAAGGGAAAAAGTAGTAATAGTAATTAGTGAATAACCAGTGGTTTACTACATTATAAATTAAAAAAATTAATAATCCCACTTTGAGCTGTATGATTGATTATTCAGGTGCATATGGTAGTGTTCTGATTGATGACAAGTTCCTTATTGGAGGCATTCTGTAGTTTTGGAGCTGCTCAGTATCTGCTTATTGATAGATGTGTGAAAAAGAGTCAGATGTTCCACCTGTGTCTGAAATGACTTTCACAGTTAGCCCTAGGTCTTGCGCTCTCTTATAAATTGTAAACTACCTGTCACTGTGGAGTGAATATTACACTTGAATGTTGGGACTGGACATGCAGGTGCCGTGTGCACATGGAGCAGACACCTGCATGTGTGCTTGTTGGGGGAGAAGGAGGGATGTATTTATAGATTTAGACAAATATATCCTGACTGCATCTATAGAGTAGCAGCTTTTGACAACATGACAGTTGTAATAAATTAACCCTCCTCCTCTCTTTCAGTGGTGTTGGCCATCCTGAGTATCCATTTTCTGAAGAATATTGACTCTCAGCTCTCACTGTGATTCTTTGAGAATTACTTGCTTCTAGGACTATGAAGAGGATTTTTGTACTTGGTGAAGGTGCTTAACTGAAGTGTTTGAATGTTTCAAAGCTTGCCTTTCCTTAAAAATATAACAAGTTTATGAAACAATAAAGACTTCAAAGTAAGAATACTGTTTTTTTTTTCAAAATTAAAAAATACAAATTGCAGAAAATTTGGAAAACAGAATGGAAGTGATAGAGAATTAAGATAAGCTGTGATTAACCCATTTAATAATACTTAAATTTTGTTCGTTCCTCAACCTTATGATTTTCCTGTAAAAATGTGTGTGTGTTTTCATTTACAAAGATAGAAGATCTTCAGTCTACAACTTTTCTACTTGTTTTTAACTTAGCATAAGTATCTTGATAAAATAAAAATATGACTTAAAAAAATCCAGTATTATATTTTGCTTACTATAAAGCAGCACATCTTATTAATTTAATTTTTTAATTGTCTGCCCATGCTTAGCATTTTGATGAGTTTTTATATATTTTGCCTTTGATTCATTGGTTGCAATTCATTCATCAATTCAGCAAAACTTTACTGAATATTCTTTAGAAACACGTGGTTTTATCAATAAATATTATTAAAATGAGAAATTCTTGAGTTTATAGTCTAGTGGATCGAGACTGTGAATGACATCAGGAGAATTAAGCTGTTAGAAATGGGTAAGTGCCTGTTGGAGATAATTCTGCACAATCTCTCTCACTTCTGCACATCTGTTAGGCAGAGACACCAGCTACTCTTCATCCCACACAACTTTTCATTTGTATAAGAAACAACCTTGCAACATAGAGACAGTGTCTCCCTTCATTACTCTGGAACAGAAAACGCTAAGTTCAGGAAGAACGAGTGTTTATGTAACATTTAAGGTCCAGTAAGTCAGCTGATGTGGCCGGAGCTTACTTAGTGAGGTGGGGAGATAGGAGCTGAAGAGAAGGCCCAGAGAGCCACTGGGACCTTGGGTCTGTATCATGTAGGTATTTGAAAGGATTTTACTCTAAGAGAAATGGAGAATGATATTTTGGGTTCTGAGCAGAGTAGTTACATGAACAGACACGCTTTAAAAAAAAATTACCCTGGTTGCTATATTGAGAAGAAAGAGAGAGAAAAAAAGCCCTCTTTTAGGACTCTACAGGAATCCAGGTGAGAGATGATGCTTGCGTGGACCGCAGAAGGAACAGTGAGTGTGGTCAAAGTTGTTAGAGTAGGGATATATTTTAAGGGCTGCATCAACTAGACTGTCTAACGTATTGGGCATAAAATGAAAGGAAAAGGGGAATCAAAACTGACCCCCAACGTTTGTGCTTAAGGGATAGGAAAAGGAGATGCTGTTTTCTCAGATGGAGACAATGTGGGGAGAGCACATTTTTGTGGGAAGATTAGGAGCTCAATTATAGACATGGATCTTTGAGATGCCTTTAGGTACCCAAGTGAAGATGCATGCATACAGTTGGACATAGAAGTCTATCAGAGGAAAAATTTTAGCTAAAATATTTATATTTGTGATATCTCAAATTTAGTTGCCACTCAAAGCCAAGAAGCTAGAAAATTGGAGATAATATGTCATACAGTGAGTGAGTTTAGACATGGATGTTAAGCTTCAGGACAACTCAGCATTGAGAAGTTGGTTTTTCCTTAAAAAAAGAAAAAGTGGAGGAACCAGCAAAAGAGACAGAGAAGGAGAGGCTAGTGAGGTGGGAGGGACTGTTCTTAGAAAGCACATGAAGTGTATGATTGGAGGAGAAAAGAGTCCAATGCTTCCAAGTGGACAAGTAAGAGAAGACTGAAATGGACCATTGGATTGGGCAGTTAACCTTGGTAAAGTCAAGTGGCACTTTGATAGTGGTGAAGGCAAATTCTGAATAGAGTAAGTTCAAGAAATGGTGTGAAGAGACCAATAAGAAACATAGTATGCATGGTTTTCAAAGATGTTGCTGTAACAAGGACCATGGAATTGGGCAGGTGCTGAAGGAGAAAGTGGAATTACAAGACAAGGTTCCCTGTTGGGGGAGATAACCACCTGCCTCTGAGGTCAGAGGAACAGTCCAGCAGAGAGAGGAAAATCTATGATGCAGCAGATGGAGGTGGGGCTGATTTGAACCACATTTGTTTTAGTTAGACTGTTGCTATAACAAATGACCAAAGATTTGTGCTTTGAAACAACAGCAATTTATTAGTTTATATACCCTGTGGTCAGAAATTAAAAATGCAGTTCAGTGGACTAAAGTCAAGTGCCAGCAGGCCAGCATTCTTTTCTGGAGGTTGTAGGGGAAAATCCATTTCCTTGCCTTTTCCAGCTCCTAGAGAACAGGTCCTGTGTTGTTGGAAGAGGGTGTTTGCTAAGACCAGAGCATTCTCTTGACAAAATTCTGTTAGTTTTGGCCCTGCTTTATTTGTATTCCAAGGCCAAACTTGCCTGTTAGTCCAGATATCTCTTGACTTTCTACTTTTGTATTTCAGTCCCCTATGGTGAAAAGGAAATCTTTTTTTTTTTTTTTTTGGGTGTTAGATTTAGAAGGTCTCTTAGGTCTTCCAAGAACACATCAACTTCAGCTTCTCTGGCATTTGTGGTTGGGGTATAGACTTGGATTTCTGTCATATTGAATGGTTTGCTTTGAAAATGAACCAAGATCATTCTGTCATCTTTGAGACTGCACCCAAGAATACTGCATTTTGGACTCTTTTGTTGACTATCAGGGTTACTCCTTTTCTTCTAAGGGATTCTTGCCCACAGTGGGAGATATAATGGTCAGTTGAGCTAATTTCACCCATTTCCCATCCATTTTAGTTCACTGATTTCTAAAATATCCATATTTACTCTTGCCATCTCCTATTTGACCACATCCAATTTACCTGGTTTCAGAGACCTAACATTCCAGGTTCCTATGCAATATTATTCTTTACAGCATCAGAGTTTACTTCCACCACTAGACACATCCACAATTGGGTGTTGTTTCTGCTTTGGCTCTGCCTCTTCTTTCCTTTTAGAGCTATTTCTCCACTCTTTTCTAGTAGCACATTGGACACCTACCAACCCGGGGTCCTCGTCCTTCAGTATGATATACTTTTGCCTTTTCACACTGTTCATGGGGTTCTCAAGGCAGGAATGTTGAAGTGGCTCACCATGCCGTCTCCATCATTAGATCTCTCCATCATGAGTTGTCCATCTTGGGTGGCCCTGCATGGCATGACTGATAGTTTCATGAGTTACACAAAGTTGTGATCCATGTGATCATATTATTTAGTTTTCTGTGATTGCAGTTTTCATTCTGGAGGCCATAGAATTGAAATTCTTGCTTCTTCTTTGTTGCCCTATGATGGATGAGGATAAGAGGCTTGTGCAAGTTTCCTGATGGGAGGGACTGACTGTGGGGAAAGTATTTCTCTGGTGGGCAGGGCAATGCTCAGTAAACCTTTAATCCAATTTTCTGCTGATGGGTGGTGAAATGAAGCAGAGTCCTTTGTTCCTTGCCCCTGTACCATGTCCTTTCCCTGCTCTTTGTGGAAAACTTCAAAGAATAAGTTTAATCAGAGAATTGAGAAATGTGGACACAAAGGAAAAGGGTCAAAGGAGACTAAATAATAACCATGTGGTCATTAAGCATAATCAAGTACCTTCAGCCCTTTCTCAAGGGTTATAGATAATATTCTGAACCATATCCTGTGAGTTGCCTTATAGATACTACAATGCCAGGTGGAGAAGTTAACCACATGATGGCCAGAATATATCCATGACATAAGCTGTCACAATTCTGAGTACTGGCCTCAAGAAATGCAAAACAAATGGGTCCTGGAACTGAAGACTAATGTGCAAAAAGCAATCAAGATGACACAGGTCAGACCACTGATGACCAACTTGAAGATGACTGTCAGAGCTGACTGTGCTGTTTCTGCATATAGCACCCCTGTCACTTCTGTCTATAAGGGCTCTTGCCCCACTGGTTGAAGTGGAGGGGGGTTGGACTTTGGATCGATGTGTGTCACCCCAACAGCCCAGTTGCTGGAATCTGAAATCAAACAAACTTTCCTTTCCACCAACCTGGCCTGATTATTGGCTTTGACATGAAGAGCAGCTGTCCCCACAAACACCCTTTTGGTAAAAGTGGGACTGTGCTCCCTCCAATAGAAGGGAAAACCACTAGGCCATTATGGTATGACCTAAATGAAATTCCTTATGATTATACAGTGGAAGTGAGAAAAAGATTCAACGGATTAGATATGATAGACAGAGTGCCTGAAGAACTATGGGTGGGGGTTTATAACATTGTACAGGAGGAGGTGACCAAACCATTACCAAGAAAAGAAATGCAACAAGGCAAAATGGTTGTCTGAAGAGAGCTTACAAATAGCTGAGAAAAGAGGAAATGCAAAAGGCAAAGGAGGAAGGGAAAGATTTACCCATCTGAATGCAGAGTTCCAAGGAATAGCTAGGAGAGATAAGGAAGTCTTAAGTGATCAGTGCAAAGAAATAGAGGAAAACAATATAATGAGAAACACTAGAGATCACTTCAAGAAAATTAGAGATACCAAAGGAACATTTCATGCAGAGATGAGGACAATAAAGGGAAGAAATGGTATGGACCTAAGATAAGCAGAAGAGATTAGGAAAATGTGGCAAGAATACAAAGAAGAACTATTCCAGAAAAAAGCCTTGATGCACAGGATAACCATTATGGTGTGATCACTCACATAGAGCCAGACATCATGGAATGTGAAGTCAAATGGGCCTTAGAAAGAATCACTATGAATGAAACTAGTGGAGGTGATGGAATTCCAGCTGATCTATTCTAAATCCTAAAAGATGATGCTATGAAAGTGCTGCACTCAATAGCCCAGCAAATTTGGAAAACTTAGCAGTGGCCACAGGACTGGAAGAGGTGAGCTTTCATTTCAATCCCAAAGAAGGGCAATGCCAAAGAATGTTCAAACTGCTGCACAATTGCACTCATTTCACATAGTAGTAAGGTAATGCTGAAAATCCTTGATGCTAGGCTGCAATGGTATATGAATCAAGAACTTCCAGATGTACTAACTGGATTTAGAAAAGCCAGAGGAACCAGAGACCAAACTGCCAACATCCATTGGATCATAGAAAAAGCAAGAGAATTCCAGAAAAAACATCTACTTCTGTTTCATTGGATATGCTAAAGCCTTTGACTGTGTGGATCACAACAAACTATGGAAAATTTTTAAAGAGCTAGAAATACCAGACCACCTTACCTGTCTCCTGAGAAACCTGTATGCAGGCCAAGAAGCAACAGTTAGAACAGGACATGAAACAATGTACTGGTTCCAAATTGGGAAAGGCATACATCAAAGCTGTATATTTTCACCCTGCTTATTTAATTTATATGTGGAGTACATTATGCGGAATGCCAAGCTGGATGAATCACAAAGTGGGTTGAAGATTGCTTGGAGAGATATCAGTAACTTCAGATACACAGATGACATCAGCTTAATGGCAGAAAGGCCTCCCTGGTGGCTCAGACAGTAAAGCGCCTGCCTACAATGTGGGAGACCCAGGTTCAATCCCTCGGTCAGGAAGATCCTCTGGAGAAGGAAATGGCAACCCACTCAGTACTCTTGCTTGGAAAATCCCATGGATGGAGGAGCATGGAAGGCTACAGTCTCTGGGGTTGCAAAGAGTCAGACACGATTAAGTAACTTCACTTTCTTTCTTTCTTTTAATGGCAGAAAGCAAAGAGGAACTAAAGAGTCTCTTGATGGAGGTGAAAGAGGAGAGACAAATAACAGGCTTAAATCTCAATATTTGAAAAATTACAATCATGGCATCTGGTTCCATCCCTTCACAGCAAACAGATGGGGAAAAAAATGGAAACAGTGACAAAATTTATTTTCTTGGCCTCCAAAATCACTGCAGATGGTGACTGTAGCCATTAAATTAAGTTGCTTGCTTCTTGGAAGAAAAACTATGACAAATCTAGGTAAACTGTTTAAGAGCAGAGCCATCACTTTGCTGACAAAGATCTGTAGAGTCAAAGCTATGGCATTTCCAGTAGTCACGTATGAATGTGAGAGTTGGACTATAAAGAAGGCTGAGCCCTGAAGAATTGGTGCTTTCAAACTGTGGTGCTGGAGAAGACTCTTTAGAGTCACTTGGACAGCCAGGAGATCAAACTGGTCAATCCTGAAGGAAATCAGTGCTGAATATTCTTTGGAAGGACTGATGCTGAAGCTGAAGCTCAATATTTAGCCACCTGATGCTAAGTGCCAGCTCACTTGAAAAGACCCTGATGCTGAGGGCAAGAGGAAAAGGGGATGATAGATGGTGAGATGGTTGGATGGCATCATCGACTCAATGGGCCATGAGTCTGAGCAAACTCTGGGAGATAGTGAAGGACAGAGAAGCCTTGTGTGTTGCAGTCCATGGGGTGGCAAAGAATTGGACATACTGAGAAACTGAACAACAAGAGAACTCTTCCATCTTCATCTTGTAGACTTTACCGAGATCTTCAGAGACAGACTATAGCATCTTAGAATCTTTTATCCAATGCTCCTATCTTCCCACCTTCTCTTCAACTACAAACCTCCCAGGTCACACATTTAAGGACTTTGTCATTATATTAGGGTTACCAGGGAAACCAAGAATATCTTGCATCTCAAGATTTTAACCACCTTTATAAGATCATTCCCAGGCCAGGTTCAGAATCATGCCCCCTGAAGTGGAAGCACAGAGTCCTCACCACTGGACCACCAGGAAAATCCCAGGTTAAAGGAAATTTTTAGCCATAATTTCATCACACCTATATTTTCAGACCCCTTCCCCATCTCTTCTGCTTCTGGAACCCCTACACTGTGAATGTTAGTATGTTCTATTCCCTAGTTAGTGTAGCATTCTTCTTACAATTCTGTATTTTGGTAAATTATTTTGGTAAATTATTAATCTCTGTCTCAATATCTGATCTTTTCAGTTTTTTTTCTTATTGTTTCATTTGACACAAATTCCTCTCTCTTCCCATTTTGCTTAGCTTCCTCCTTCTCTATGAAATTAGGTAATAAAAGTTACCTGCCCGGCTTGTAGGGGTGTCTTTGTGTGGACCCACCTTGTGCAGTCTATGTGCCCAGAGGCTTGGGGCAGAGCTGGAGCTGAGGAGGGAGGGCAGGATTACCCCTTCCCAGGTCAAGCTGGCAACTGTCACCTCGGTGGGAGGGGGAAGGGCAGGCTAGAGCCATAGCCTAGTGTGAGCAAAGGCTTCTCCTATGCTCAGCGGCTGTCTCCACCCTACTGGGCCAGGCGAGTCCCAAGATGCTGGAGCAGAACTCTGAGGGTTGGGTCCAGACTGGTTCCACTCCTTGTAAGTGTGCACCTCCTCCTCCACACTGGCACCTTTGCCCCAGAGGGTGGCAGAGCTGGAGGAAGGCGTGATGGAGCAGCCCCTGGTGCGGGCAGCCATGCAAGTGGTGCAGCCCTGGCACACCGTCAGAGCCCCAGACTGCTCCTCATCAGGCCCCTCTTTGATGACCGCCTTGCCCCGTCCAGATGTGTGTGTGGTCCCGTGTGTGTGCATTCAGTTGGGTACTTGAAACAGGCAAATGCTCGCTCTTGGTAGAGTTGTTCCTTGTCATAATTTTCACTAGTTAACTGTCATGCTCCTAGTCCTGGGATCAGCCCAATAGGAAAGTAAGGGTGGCTCAGTTCACTTTGAGTCAGCATCTTACCTGGTCGAGACTGGCTATCTGATTCTGGTGAATTTATGACTGTTTTTGAATGCACTGTGTCCCCCAAAGCCACACCCCCTTTCTATTCAGGGCCTTTTAATACATGGTCTAGTCCATGTCTCCACCCTTATTCCTTTGTCCTTGGCTCCATATATATGTAGTTCCCCTGCAGCTGCAATAGGCATTCCAGGAGCTCTTCAATCCAAGCTTAGAGTTAAGTGGAACAGACACCAGTCTCCAGGCAGCCCCCAAGTTGGTTGGGACCTCACACATAAGGTTTCCTCTGATCATTCTGGTTTGAGGGAGGCAACTGGGAGCTGATCAAGACTGCACTGCTCCAGGCAGGAGGAGGGTACAGGTGAGTAATACATGATGAAATTTCCTTCTACTCTGTTCTGGATTTTTCCTAATTGCCTGTTCACTTTGTTGTTGTCAATCTTTGTTTGACTGTTTTCCAGAACTCCTATAAGGTTTTACAACTAATTTCTCTTTCTTTTCTTGTCTTTCCATGGGAGATTTCAGTCCTCCCACCTCACCAGTTTGCTGACATCACTGTACATGTTAAATTTTATTTATCTTCACAACATTTTCGTGTATCAGTGCATCAAAACTTCTGTTTTCTTTCCAAATTTGTGTTATTTTAATTTGTTTATAGTTTTTTCTTTTATGAATAATGTGAAACAGTTAGTAAATTATGTAAAATATGTATCAGCTACATTATAAGACTACTCTTTAAAAAAATAATTTACTTATTTTAATTGGAGGTTAATTACTTTACAATATTGTGGTGGCTTTTGTCATATGTTGACATGAATCAGCCATGGTCGTATGTGTCCCCTTGTTCTGAACCGCTGTTCCACTTCCTTCCCCATCCCAACCCACTGGGTTGTCCCAGTGCACTGGCTTTGAGTGCCCCATTTCATACGTTGAACTTGGACTGGTCATCTATTTCATGCATGGTAATATACATGTTTCAGTGCTAATCTACAAGAGTACTCTTAAAGTTATATAACTAAGTACAAAGTATAAACACTCCAAGTATCTTTGCACAGTGCATATGGTATCCTAAGGCTATTAATAATTAATCTCCAATAAGTACTTTGCAAAAATGCCTGGTTTCTTTATCCTGTTCAGGATTTCACCAGTCAGGTCTGTAAAGCATAATAATTTTCCTGGTGGGAAATATAAAGAAACAAATTTATTTTCATTTGAAGTTTTGATTCTTTATTAAGGGGTAACATTTTAAAAAATGCTATTAAACACTTTTGAATTGTGTGATTTGTGTATATGCGTGTGTTTGTACTGTAAGATGACTTTTTCAATTGATGTTTGATTGACATTATGGTCATAATAGGAAAATAAGGGATTGATGTTGGAAGTTTCTAGTCTAACTAATGGTCCATAATTGCCCACCCAATTTCATCAATATATAATACTTGATGTTATGCTAATAAAAAAAAAGTCAAACAAGTTGACTGTCTTTAAGTTACTTCTTACTCCATGGACACTAGTTTAATCACACTTCTCCTACAATATATCTGCTAATGTTGGACAGTTCAGCTGGGATGTGAACTTCCTGTTATTTATAACCTGTGAAGGAAGAAGAAAATATCAATCTACTTACTCAGAGGAGAAACAGGCAATGGATCCCAAAGGCCAGAATGTGAAGCTTAATGATGGCCACTTCATTCCTGTCCTGGGATTTGGAACCTATGCACCTCCAGAGGTAACAATACTGGTTGTGGGTTAAGATATAAATAGTAAGTGAATATAACATGAGTGGAAGGGACTTGGGTTGTCAAGCACTGAGTTCCTGGGTGACTCTGGGAGGGTCACCAACCAGGCTAGAACCATGCCCTGTGAAAGGGGAGATAGCATCCAGTCTCCACTCTGCATCAGGGTCTGAGGTGGTGCTCACCTGCACATTACTCTGGGTTCCCCTCCAGTTTCCATCTCTTTCCCAGCTTGGCAGAAGAGGAGATTTGGCTGTCAAGAAAACTGTCAGCTGCATTGCTTTGAAGGTGATTGCAATGGTGAGGTTTATCTGCATATTTAATTAATTCCAGAACTCTTTCCTCCTTCCAAAAAGTCATGACACAGACTTTGTATTTGAGGTGGGAGGTCCTATAGATGAGGTGAATGAAAAATAATGGGAATGAATTGTTTTTCTACTGTGGGGTGCCTGTTAGATGGCAGGCAAGAAACCCTCCAGCTGTGTTTTGCCTCATATTTCTGTTTCTGCTTGGAAACTTATTCTTAGGGAAAATATAGTCTCATTTGAAGGGAAAAGCTACTATCTTACAGGCCAGGTTTTGTAATATTTTCTTGGGCTTCCCCGGGTAGCTCACGTGGTAAAGAATCTACCTGCAATGTGGGAGATCTGGGTTCAATCCCTGGGTAAGGAAGATCCCCTGGAGAAGGAAATGGCAACCCACTCCAGTGTTCTTGCCTGGAGAAACCCGTGGACAGAGGAGCCTGATGGGCTATATAGTCCACGGGGTCACAAAGAGTTGGACACGACTGAGTGACTAACACTTTCACTTTCAATGTCTTTTTTATTAAAGTACGGTTTGCAGTGCTCGGGCTTAAAATGGGCTGGTAAATCTCTAGTCTGGAAGCGAGAAAGTTTGCTGTCTATCTTATCTTTAGGGTAGATGTGACAAGGGATTGGTCCTTTGCCGGAGCCTGCCGGCAAACGAACCGGTCACGGGCGCAATCGCCGAAATACCTGAGAAATAAAAGAAAAGACTAGGAAAGAAAGACTAGGAAAGAATGGGGTTGAGAGGGACGGAGTCAGCTCTCGACTGAAACCGACAACCGACAACCAACAACCGACAACCGCCAACTTTATTGAGGAGTGACATGCTTATATATGAGCAAGGGAGTGGCGTCTTAGTATGATTACAATCAGTTAAAAGATTATCATGATCACAATCAATTAAAGATTATCTAAGGATTACTTAGACATAAACCATACACAGGAGCCTGACAATCTCGTCAGGAAAATGGGTAAAAGGTCGCTACAGCAATTTCCTTGAGGGAGGTGAGAAAGGTCAACCTGTACTTTAATAAATCAGGGGTGGCGGGACAGAGAGGGACCTCTTGATCTCTCTCAGGGCCAAGAAGGAGCCTGAGCGGTCAGGCTGGCTCCCCGCAGTCCTTAAACTTTGAGTCTCACTATTCTAATTCATAAAATGGAAAAACATATTCAGACACATTTTGCAGATAGAAGACAAGACTTTGTAGAGCAAAGTGGGGTGAGGGGGACGAAGGGGTCAGGATGTTACTGAAGCTCACTGGCTCATTCCTCTGTGGTGATGGTGGTTTACTCACTCAGTCATTCCTGACTTCTGCGATCCCATGGACTGTAGCCTGCCAGGCACTTCTGTCCTTGGGATTCTCCAGGCAAGAATGGAGATGAAACCACCTTAATGGCAGAAAGGGAAGAGGAACTAGAAGGCCTCTTGATGAAGGTAAAAGAGGGAGTGAAGAAGCTGGCTTAAAACTCGGCATTAAAAATACTAAGATTAAAAAAAAAAAATACTAAAATGATGACATTCAGTCCCATCACATCATGGCAAATACATGAGGAAAAAATGAAAACAGTGGCACACTTTATTTTCTTGAACTCCAAAATCATTGTGGATGGTGACTATAGCCAGGAATTTTATTTTATTTATTTTATTTTATTTTTTTGTCTTTTGACAGCCTTGTATTTTTTTTTCATTTATTTTTATTAGTTGGAGGCTAATTACTTTACAATATTGTAGTGGTTTTTGTCATACATTGACATGAATCAGCCATGGATTTAAAAGTATTCCCCATCCCGATCCCCCCTCCCACCTCCCTCTCCACCCGATTCCTCTGGGTCTTCCCAGTGCACCAGGCCCGAGCACTTGTCTCATGCATCCAGCCTGGGCTGGTGATCTGTTTCACCCTAGATAATATACATGTTTCAATGCTGTTCTCTTGAAACATCCCACCCTCGCCTTCTCCCACAGAGTCCAAAAGTCTATTATGTACATCTGTGTCTGTTTTTCTGTTTTGCATATAGGGTTATCATTACCATCTTTCTAAATTCCATATATATGCATTAGTATACTGTATTGGTCTTTATATTTCTGGCTTACTTCACTCTGTATAATGTAATGGGCTCCAGTTTCATCTATCTCATTAGAACTGATTCAAATGAATTCTTTTTGATGGCTGAGTAACATTCCATGGTGTATATGTAACACAGCTTCCTTATCCATTCGTCTGCTAATGGGCATCTAGGTTGCTTCCAAAGATGTGTGCTCCTTGGAAGAAAAGCTATGAGAAGCCAAGACAGTGTATTAAAAAGCAGAGACATTACTTTGCTGACAAAAGGCCATATAGTCAAAGCTATGCTTTTCCAGTAGCTATGAATAGATGTGAGAGTTCTACCATAAAGAAGTCTGAGTGCAAAGAATTGATGCTTTTGAACTGTGGTGTTGGAGAGGACTCTTGAGAGTACCTTGGACTGCAAGGAGACAGACAAAACTGGTCAATCCTGAAGGAAATCAACCCTGAGTATTCCTTGGAAGGATTGATGCTGAAGCTGAAGCTCCAATACTTTGGTCACATGATGCGAAGAGCCAACCCATTGGAAAAGACCCTGATTCTGGGAAAGATTGAGGGCAGGAGGAGAAGGATACAATAGAGGAGGAGATCATTGAATGGCAGTATTGACCCAATGGACATGAGTTTGAGCAAACTGCAGGAGATAACGAAAGACAGGGAAACCTGGAGTGGGGTCAGAAAGAGTTGAACAGGACTGAGCGACTGAATAGAAACAACAACTTATATGAGAACATCACTCTGTATACCTTGATTACATAGCTTTTATGTGGTGTATTCTTTGTGGTTTTACTGGTAGACAGAGGTCTTAGAAGCTTTTACTTTGTTTCCTGATGCTTTTACCAGGCACCTTACACCTTTGTTGACTTATCTTCAAACATCTCACTGTATAAATAATATCCATGACTACAACTTTATGCTGAATTCTTTGGGTTCTTCCAGCAAATCAATGAACCTGCAGTGGTCTTGAGGTCCTCTGATGCCAACAATCAACCACTGATTGCCTCAGGTTGAAGGGTTCCTGGGTGTCTACTTAACCCTGACCAGGAATGTTCAGGGAAATCGTCAAGCATGCATCACCACACATACAGGACTAACCAAAGGCACAAAGAAATGTTTATGTTGGGAAGGTGAAAGCTTGTGTCTAGCAATTTCTTATGTGGATATTCAGCTTCTATCTTTGTTGCTTATGTAGGTTGCTAAGAAGGAAGCTCTGGAATTCACACCATTTGCTATTGAGGTTGGGTTCCGCCATATTGACTGTGCTCACGCTTACCAAAATGAAGAGCAGATAGGCCAGGCCATTCAAAGCAAGATTGCAGATGGCACTGTGAAGAGAGAAGACATATTCTGCACTTCAAAGGTACTATGTGTGTTTTGTGTGTGCACATGTGTGCAAGTGATTGTGCCCATGTGAAAATTATATAATAGGATCATTTGTTCAGTGAAGAGTTGTTTGGTGAACTATGCTTATTGGTATATTCCTAAAGTATTAGAGTCCTCTGGTGGTTCAGTGCTTAAGACGTGGTACTTTACTGCAATGAGCTGGGTCCCTGGTCGAGGAAGTAATATACCACAAGCCACATGGTACGCACCCCCAAAAAATTACCTAAAGTTTTATTAACACAAATTTTATTTCTTAACCTCTGCAGCTTTGGTGCACATCCTTTCGACCAGAGTTGGTCCGACCAGCTTTGGAAAAGTCACTGAAAAGTCTTCAACTGGACTATGTCGATCTCTATATTATGCATTATCCACTGGCTCTGAAGGTTGGGAATTTGTGTGATCACATCAATGCTATATCTTGTGTTAAAATGTTCATCAACTTGCCTGGATGGTTGAAGTAACATTTGTCTTAGTAGGTTCTACACTAGAGTAGAATCCTCCAAGTAATCATTTGTGATCATCTTTTTTTTTTTTTTTCCATTTATTTTTATTATTTGGAGGCTAATTACTTTACAATATTGTAGTGGTTTTTGTCATACATTGACATGAATCAGCCATGGATTTAAAAGTATTCCCCATCCCGATCCCCCCTCCCACCTCCCTCTCCACCCGATTCCTCTGGGTCTTCCCAGTGCACCAGGCCCGAGCACTTGTCTCATGCATCCAACCTGGGCTGGTGATCTGTTTCACCCTAGATAATATACATGTTTCGATGCTGTTCTCTTGAAACATCCCACCCTCGCCTTCTCCCACAGAGTCCACAAGTCTGTTCTATACATCTGAGTCTCTTTTTCTGTTTTGCATATAGGGTTATCGTTACCATCTTTCTAAATTCCATATATATGCATTAGTATACTGTATTGGTCTTTATCTTTCTGGCTTACTTCACTCTGTATAATGGGCTCCAGTTTCATCCATCTCATTAGAACTGATTCAAATGAATTCTTTTTGATGGCTGAGTAACATTCCATGGTGTATATGTACCACAGCTTCCTTATCCATTCGTCTGCTGATGGGCATCTAGGTTGCTTTTTACTGAGATTCTTTGAATTCCTTATATGCCTCCCAGAAAAAGGAGTTAAATAATCTGAGAGTCTCTGCTTGAAAACTTTCGGAAATAGAAATAAGCCAGTTCTGCACCCAGTCCTGGTTATGACTCCTAACTCTTTGGAAATTTCATGAACCAAGAGTTTGGTGTAGCTGTAGTGAGCATGACACTGCTTTACATTGAACATGATGAGTTTATCTTGCCTTTCACCCTTTCTAGATGAGCAGATTTGGTGGTGCTCCCTCTGTGTGAATCTAAGCCTCATACCTTTATAGGGACTTGGGAGACCTTGCCTACAGTCCCCCCTGTCTTCAGATGAGGTTTGTAGTCTGCACTTAGCCATAAGAAAGGTTTACTTAGAACAACTGATTTCATGTCACAGAACTCAAGCCATCTGCCACAAAATAGCTTCATAGACTACGTAGATGGTAAGTTCCAGCCACAGACAGAATTGAGGGTTGCAGTACTCTTCAGAAATGTCTCCTTTTTTCTATCCCTTATCAGGGCACTACTCGTGGTTTGCTTTATTTTTACTGAACATTTTCCATCAGTGGCAAATAATGGGGCAGCTCAAGGCTCATGGTCATGAATATTTGAGAGCATGGCTGGATCATCCACATTCCATATCAACCTAAGGAGAGCCTTGCTGGCTCATATGCCTTCCCTAGGGCACCTGATGCTCAGAGATAAAAGGAAGTCTGATTATCTAACCCAGGTCAAGATTGCAATTTTTTATTTTGGAAATAAAGCCATGTAACTTACTGCCATTCCCAGCTCACAGAAGTACTTCTAAAGAGGCAAGTAAAAGAAGAGACAAAATTCACAGAATCACTGGAAGTCCATTTTAGGAAGCAGAAAAATTATACTTATTACAATATATATTTAGTGTAAAAGAGTAGAGTAAACCTCCCTCCTGAAGACATTGCTTACATAGACAAAATCACTTTGCAAAGATTAGTATCTAGAAAGTTGTAAACATACCTCATGGAGGTTTAATTCCTGGTGCCTGGGAGCCTGGCTAAATATGGAGTAATTACTTTGTGACATCTCTAAAATGATTGCTTCTATTCCAGCCAGGGGAGGACATTTTGCCAACAGATGAAAATGGGAAACTGGTATTTGACTCAGTGGATTTCTGTCACACATGGGAGGTGAGTATGGGGAGGAGAGAGACCAGAGGAGGAGCCAGGAGAGTGGGAACCTCTTTCATTTCTTCCACCTGTAAGAATGGGCTGTGGGCCATCAGACCCAGCAGTTCCTAAAGTCTAAGGGCTGTGATGCTGGGGTTGTGGGGAGGAAACCATTGGTGAAATGTTCCAGAGAGGAAAGGAGGAGGAGATTATGGGACAGTGCAGACGGTATCTCTTTACTTCCATGTGATATGTCTTCTCCAGGGTTCAAAGAAGAGACGATAATTCTTTTTGTATAATGTCTACTTCCTCTCTTTTCTTCTTGATAATCAATGTTAATTCTTGATGGATGATACTTTTACAGATTTTTTCCAGCATTTATTCTTGATCTATCACTAATTTTAAATGACTGTTCCCCACCCCTCCCTCAAAGGCCCTGGAGAAGTGTAAGGATGTAGGACTGACCAAGTCTATTGGGGTGTCCAACTTCAACCACAAGCAGCTGGAGAAGATTCTGAACAAGCCGGGGCTCAAGTACAAGCCTGTCTGCAACCAGGTGAGCAGCACGGCTCCTCTCCCTCCTGCTCTTCAGAACCTCCTTCTTGCACTGGAGCCTGATGTCTGTCTGTCCTCCCCTCCTGTTCATCTTACATTTATGGACAGAAGGTTCTAGAGAGTAGAGCCCCTGTCTGGATGGTGTGAATAGAACCCATAATGGTATCTCCGTCTGATAAATTTGGATGGAAAAAGTGCAGAGGGCTTTCTGGTAAATCATGAATAGAACCCAGAAGTAGAGGAAGGAAGTATTTCCCTGAGATGATAGCATGATCAGTTTGGAGATTGAAAGTGCCCTGGAGCAAGCTTTTTACAGGAAGAAAAATCATGAAAACATGGAATCAGAGGTAAATTAATAGAGTCAAATCAGTTGCAATGGGTGTTAAGGGTTTGTGTGGAGTTCTGATGGCTGATTCCTAAATCTTGGTGTCACAGCATTTATAAGTCTTTAGCAGGGAGCACAGTTCAGAAAATTGTGCTGGACATTATGAAAATCATCCAGGTTAGAGGGTGAAGTTAAAGGCTCATGGTGATGTTAACAGTCTATGAAATAGTTTACTCATGAATGTATACTCAAATGTACAGTCCATCTTTTGATTAGTCAATCTCAGACTGGTTCTCCTATCTATGTCCATCATAAATTAACTGTATAAACATAAACACACTTTTCTTTGTTTCTCTGTTGTTAATATTTGCAGTTTACATTTAATGTTGTCATTTTTCCTTTATCATTTTTTAAACTTTTTTTTTTTCACCTTAATTTTATAGATCACCAGCCCAGGATGGATGCATGAGACAAGCATTTTTTAAACTTTTTGTCTCTCTTTGTCATATTAGTATTATGTTTCCTTAATATCTGACACTCTTCTCTATCGGTTTTTTACAGGTGGAATGTCACCCTTATCTCAATCAGAGGAAACTGTTGGATTTCTGCAAGTCACATGATATTGTTCTTGTTGCCTATAGTGCTCTGGGATCCCAAAGAGTAAAAGGATGGTATTGAACTCTAATGAAAGCAACAGGGAGTTTATGTAAAATTCAATTTTTGATGAGATAGTTTAAATAAAAAAATACTCAGGTAACTCTCATAGGCAGAAGGGAGAGAGAGGAGTAATGGAATGATTTCTTCTCTTTTATCTTCCCATCACCCAGCCAATTTTTCTAGATTATATTAGCTTGTTGACCCATCAGTAACAAATGTCTGCATTAAAATCTATATGTAATCCCCCGGTTGAGACCAGAGACACCAGTTTATGTCATGATTTGCCTATTAACTAAGGAGCACATTTTAAAAAATAGGTGTTCCAAGACTCACTCACCTTATGTCTAAAGTTGAGATAATAATATATAACTCCTAGGTCTATCATGATAGAAAAGAAATTCAACTTGAACCATTTTTGTAAACATCCATAGTAGAATAATGATGAAATAAATGTCTCTTACTTTGAGATTACTCAATTTTTATCAATACCTTAGAAAAAGTGAAAATTACAAACTACTCTTGGTCTTTTCCTTCAGTTTCTCTTTTCATGCCCTTGATTGTAGAAGAAAAAACACTCCCTGAAAATTAAGGAAAAAAATCTATGAGTTTGGCAGTCCTGGTCTCAACTCAATAATGCCTTTGAATCATGTGTAGAGCTTTGTAAACATAGAATGGAAAGTGACACAGTTGAGGTTCTGATTCAGTTTGTCTTCAGCTCAGGCATGGTTGTATTTCTAATAAGATCCCAGGTGATACTGATGATGGTGGTCCATGGACCACACTTTGAGAAGCAGTGATCTAGACTGAACCTCTTGGTCTGTTTGGGAAACCTACTCACAAACTGAGTACCTAGTCTCAGCTTCTCAGCATTTCTGAATTTCCTTCCAGGGTGAATCTGAACCACCCCATTCTCTTGGAGGACCCGGTTCTCTCTGCCATTGCCCAAAAGCATAAGAAAACCCCAGCTCTGGTTGCCCTTCGCTACCAGATACAACGTGGGGTTGTGGTTCTGGCCAAGGGTAACAATAAGAAGTGGATCAAAGAGAATATACAGGTGATGAGTGAGACTGTGGGGAGAGGGTCCCTAAGGAGTATCCTTCATGAGGGTCATTCTTTGTCTGACTCTCAGGCCGTCTTTGGGCCAAGACGAGTTACCTGTTCTTTCCCTGAGCATGAATGCCTTGTGTGTATTTCTGGTGGTTTTCTCCTCCTGCTGTGGCAACAGGAGAGGCATCATGTCTGAAGAGGGTCACAGTTGGACAGATAATGGAGGTTTTAGTTTGAGCATTACATTTGCAATGTATTCTGTCACTTCATGCAAATGAAATTTTGTTTTCTTTGTTTTCAATGGATGCAATTGAATTATTTGATTTTTTTTTTTGAATGTTTGTATCACTCTAGCAAAATACCACAGATTGAGGGCCTGAGAAAAAAAATTTAAATTTGTTTCTCACAATTCTGAAGCTGGAGATCTGAGTTCAGGGTCCCCGTGTAGTCAGGTGAGGGTGCTCCTCCAAGTCATAGGCTTCTCTTTCTATCTTAACATGGTGGAGGGGGCAATAGAGCTCTCCCAAATATCTTATATGAATATGATGTTGTTTAAATCTCATTCATGTGGGCTCCACCAGCATTACCTAATCGCCTCTCAAAGATTTCCTTTCTAACACCATCAACATGTGAATATGAGGGCTGAAAGATTGTGTTTTTATTTTGCATTTCACTGAGTTCTAATAAGGTTTCATTTTTGTATATTTAATCTTCTTGAGTTTCTGTCTTTGTGAAGTTCTCCTTCAATAGCTTGTCCATTTTTGCTAGGTTGTATTTTGTTTTCAGTGTAGGAGACCATTATTGTACCTTCAGCCATAGCTGTACAGGAAACTCCTCAGTTTCAGAATTTAATTCAGGGGTCTTTTATGTGTCTCTTGCTTCTGTGGCATGACAATCAGCCTGTACTCAGCTAAGCTGTTGTCCTCTTGGCTGGGCTCTTTTATGAATTTGAAGTTGAGCTCAGAGCAGCTTGGCAGTTCTGTTTTAGCAGGTGGATGTGGCTCTTGTCAGATAGGCCTTCATACTTCTCTGTACAGTTTTTCATGAATATTTGACTAGACTGTGCCAACTAGCCTAGTCTTTATCTCAGCAGAGGGCAATGACCCCAAGTCAGTGATTAGGTAAAAAGTCCTCTTCCTGTCTGGGCTCAGATCTGGCTTACCACTTATGGGATATATCACTATTCAATGCAGGTTATAGGTCAGGCCAAGTCAAGGGGAACAGAAATTGTCCCCTGATAAATTGTTTCCATATTTCCATTTTTTGGTTCTGTAATCTAGTTGGAACTGATTATCTAAGATAATACAAAAATAGATACATACATGTTTATGTGTAGTTAAATGTAAATCTAAGGTTCCATATTTCCTCACAGATTTTCATTGTCAGCTTAGTCATATATTAAGTTTCCATAAACACATTTCTGGTGTCTCTCTTCTATTTAAATATTCAGTTTTCTACACTGTGTTCTTTATTTTTTATTTTTTCCCAATTATTTTTATTAGTTGGAGGCAAATTACTTTACAATATTGTAGTGGTTTTTGCCATACATTGACATGAATCAGCCATGGATTTACATGTATTCACCATCCCAATCCCCCCTCCCGCATCCCTCTCCACCCGATCCCTCTGGGTCTTCTCAGTGCACCAGCCCTGAGCACTTGTCTCATGCATCCAACCTGGGCTAAAAAACTGGAAATAGAACTGCCATATGACCCAGCAATCCCATTTCTGGGCATACACACCAAGGAAACCAGATCTGAAAGAGACACGTACACTGTGTTATCAAGTGAAAAATCAGTCTTGCTTTTCAGAATGGTAATTTTTTATTTTTTAAGGATGTCCTGACTACTTTTGATTAGCTCTCCTTTATTTAAAATTTAGTATCACTTTACCAGCTTCCAGGAAAGAATATATGCTCAAGTCTTTGGTTCATGTTGCATTGAAACACTAGATCACTTTGGAGAAAATGAATTTCTTTACAAAATTGGGCTTGTCATTTCATGATTATGATGTGAATTTTTAATTGTTAATGTAAAGTAAAGTCGCTTAGTTGTGTCTGACTCTTTGCGACCCCATGGACTGTAGTCTACCAGGCTCCTCTGTCCCTGAGATTTTCCAGGCAGGAGTACTGGAGTGTGTTGCCATTGCTTGCATTTTCATGACTATGATGTGAATTTTTAATTGTTAAGGTGTTCTTTAATGTTTTAACAATTTCATTACTTTCTGCACAAAAGTATTTGCATAAAATTTTTGTTAGGTTCAGTCATAGACAATGAGTAGTTTGATAGATTCCTGAACAGACTTTCAAGGGGGAGCCTCCTTCCCACTCTGCTTCAGCTGAATGCTGTCACCCTTAGGGTGTGTTGGGGAGATGCAATAAGTCTCATGTTAGCTCAGGTTCAGTATCAAGTCAGGAGTGTCCAAAGGCAATGAGTTTGGAAAAAGAAGATTTTAGTTTGTTCTCTGTTACAAGTGATTCACTTAGAAAGATAAGGGACTGATGTGCTGTAATGTTTGTGAGGTGGACAGAGAAGGAGAAGGTGTGGGAAGGAGAGGTGAGAACTCAGCAGAGGCTCCCAGGCTTGTTCACCTGCAAGCTGATGACAGACATGGCTTCCCTGTCCCCTCCTCATGTCTCCATCCAGCTGTAAAATACTCCAGTCCCCAGGGGGAGGCTGGCTCCTTGGGGGAGAAGTTAATGCGATTCTTCCTTCCTTCCAGGTGTTTGACTTCGAGCTGACTCCAGAAGACATGAAAACAATTGATGGCCTCAATAGAAATATAAGATATAATGAGATACTGTAAGTGACTTACAGATATCTCACACATACACTGTTTCCTGTAGCAGGCAGGTCAGCAGGGGAATTAAGGTTTTCAAAAGCTTAATTCTTGGAAGACAGTCCTGATTTCCAGTGTAGGAGTAAACCAGGGGCTTTCTGTAGACCTCAGACCAGAGGTTTCCTCCAGGGCTCCATCTCTGACCGACAGAAATGTGACTGGGTCCTAGGAAAGCCCAGGAAAGAGTGGCCATTGTACAGGATGGCCAGAGTGGACACTGTGGTGAATTCACTACTTTGTGCCCCTAATTCTTGGGCTTGCTGCACCTCCTCTCAGTGTGGAGGGACCCAGAAAACACAAAGGGCAGGGTGCCTGTAGCCCACTATTCCTTCAGGGGCCTGTGAACATGTTTCATCTTTAATTCTTTTTGCATCAGGGGAAAATGATTATGTTAATAATAACTGTATAATAATTAATCCATCATGCATTACATTCATGTTTTGTTGTTGTTCAGTGGTGAAGTCCTATCTGACTCTTTTGCAACCCCATGGACTGTAACCTACCAGGCTCTTCTGTCCATGGGATTTCCCAGGCATTTCCCTGTCTAAGGGATCTTCCCAATCCAGCGGTTGGACCCGTGTCTCCTGCATGGACAGTGGGATCCTTTACCACTGAACAACTTGGGAAGCCTGCATTGATATTTTCCCATGTGCAATTGTAAAATGTCAGGTTAATATTTTTCTGGAGGGGATCCAGGCAGGCCAATGTGCACCAATGCTCAGAAGTCACAGTAGACCTACTTCCATCCCTTCCCCTAAGTATCTGGTGGGTTTTCTCTGTAATGGGCATTTCTTCTCCAAGACATTATCCATTTATTTCAAATTGATCTCTTCATTGGCCTTTCCCCCCGATTCCAACTCCCATTTCCTCATCCTTGTAATTTCACAACACTGAATTACAAGCAGGTCATTAACTTAATGGACCCTCCAGTGAGTGACTTCTGTGTTGTTAGCAGGACACGCCCAGGTAAGATCGACTGGGTGTCTGGTTTCTTGGGTCAACACTCACCCCTCTGTAGCTTCTGTCCATCAGGGGTACATCCCTTTGGAAACCCCTATCACCTGGACTTTGACTTAGAAAGTAACATGTGACTGTAGCTGCCTAATTACTGAAGAAGGAGATCAGGACTGAATAGACAAAAGAGAAATTTTGAAGGGAGTTTTGAGAGAAAATAATACAAATAAATGGTAAAACGAAGATTTCGTTTCAGTGGAAAATCTCAAAACTCTCTCAATTGTTGCAAAGCTATATCATGATTCTAAGAAAAGTTATGATACATTGAAAAAAACTGGAAAGTTCCTCTTCTGTACTCAACAGCTTTTAAGTTTTCAAAGGCTTTTTAATTCTGTGTTCTCCTTCATTAGTCTGTGAATGCCTAGACTTACATATCTTTGTGGGCTCAACTCAATAGCATAGCTCCTGGAATATGGAATCACTAAAAATGCACATTATAATGAATTGACTTGAAAAGGACACATTAGAATGAAATATACAAACATGGAAAAAAAGAAAACAGCACTAATACTAAATGCTGAATAACCAGTGTTTTAATATATTATAAAGTAAGAAAATAATGATCCCATTTTGTGCTGTATGATTATTAAGGTGTACATGGTATATCTTCAACAGATGAGAAATTCCTTAATGGAGACATCCTGTATTTTTTTGGGGTTCTCAGTATCCGCTTATCCATGGCTGTGTGAAAAAGAGCAGCAAATTTGGTCACTCTGACCCTTCTCATCATCTAGGGACAGAAGTCCCATCTGTGTCTGAAATGACCTCCGTACTTAGTCCTATGAATGTGCCCTCTTACAAATTGTCACTACCTGTCACTGTGGAGTGAATATTACATATGAATGTTGGTATTGGATGAGCAGGTGATGTGTGCATGTGGAGCAGACTCCTAATGTGTGCTTGTCAGGGGAGAAGGAGGGACGCATTTGTAGATTTAGAGTCTTAGCCCATCCTGACTGCATCATAGAGTAATGCTCTATGACATTAATGCTCTATGGCTGATTTAATAAATGAATTCTCCTCCTTCTCTTTCAGTGGTGTCGGTCACCCTGAGTTTCCATTCTCTGAAGAATATTGACTCTCAGCTCTCACTGTGGTTCTTTGAGAATGTCTTGCTGCTTTGGATGGTGAAGAAGATTTTCATACTTGGTGGAGGTGCTTAAATGAAGTTTCTGAAATTTTGAAAGCTTGTTTTTCATTTAAAACATTTAACACATTATGAAACAATAAAGACTTCAGAGTAAGAATAGTTCTTTTTCTGATAATTAAAATAATACATACAATTTAAAGAAAGTTAGGAAATAGAAGGCAAAGGATTGAAAATAAAAATAAGCTGTGATTAACCCTTTTAATAATACTTTGGTGCACTTTCTTATACAAATGTGTGTGCATGTTTATTTACAAAAAGAAGGAATCCTCAAACTACGGGTTGTATACTTATTTTTTTAACTAAGTAAACTGGGAGTTGGTGATGGACAGGAAGGCCTGGCGTGCTGCGATTCATGGGGTTGCAAAGAGTCGAACACGACTGAGCGACTGAACTGAATTGAACTGAATTACCTTGGTATGCTAAAAATATGATTTAAAAAATCCAGCACTCTTTCACCCTAGATAATATACATGTTTTGATGATGTACAATATTGTAAAGTAATTAGCCTCCAACTAATAAAAATAATTGGAAAATAAAAAAGAAAAAAATCCAGCACTATATTTGCTTACTGTAAAGCAGAAAATCTTATTCATTTATTTAATTTCTTATTCATTTGCCTAGAAATTGTTTTATTTATTTTTAAATTTTTAAAAAAATTATTTATTTTAATTGGAGGCTAATTACTTTTCAGTATTGTATTGGTTTTGCCATACATTGACATGAATCTGCCATGGGTGTACATGTGGTCCCCATCCTGAACACCCCTCCCACCTCCCTCCCCATCTCATCCTTCTGGGTCTACCCAGTGCACCAGCCCCGAGCACCCTGTATCATGCATTGAACCTGGACTGGGGATTCATTTCACATATGATAATATACACGTTTCCATGCCATTCTCCCAAATCATCTCTCCCTTGCCCTCTCCCACAGAGTCCAAAAGACTGTTCTTTACATCTGTGTCTCTTTTGCTGTCTTGTATACAGGGTTATCATTACCATCTTTCTAAATTCCATATATATGCCTTAGTGTACTGTATTGGTGTTTTACTTTCTGGCTTACTTCACTCTGTATAATAGGCTCCAGTTTCATCCACCTCATTAAAAATGATTCAAATTCATCCTTTTTAATGACCAAGTGGTATTCCACTGTGTATATGTACCACAGCTTTCTTATCCATTCATCACCTGATGGACATCTAGATTGCTTCCATGTCCTGGCTATTTTAAACAGTGCTGTGGTGAACATTGGGGTACACGTGTCTCTTTCAATTCTGGTTTCCTTGCTGTGTATGCCCAACAGTGGGATTGCTGGCCGTATGGCAGTTGTATCTCTGGTTTTTATTTTTTTATTTTTTATTTTTTTATTTTTATTAGTTGGAGGCTAATTACTTTACATCATTACAGTAGCTTTTGTTATACATTGAAATGAACCAGCCATGGATCCACATGCATTCCCCATCCCAGTCCCCCCTCCCACCTCCCTCTCCACCCAATCCCTCTGGGTCTTCCCAGTGCACCAGGCCCGAGCTCTTGTCTCATGTACCCAACCTGGGCCAGAAAGATAAAGACCATTACAGTATACTAACACATATATATGGACTTTAGAAAGATGATAACGATAACCCTGTATTTCTGGTTTTTTAAGGAATCATCAGACTGTTCTCCATGGTGGCTGTACTAGTTTGCATTCCCACAAACAGTGTAAGAGTGTTCCCTTTTCCCCACACCCTCTCCAGCATTTATTGTTTCTAGAGTTTTTGATAGCAGTCATTCTGACAGGCGTGAGGTGGTACTTCTGAAAGGTTGTTGCTGAACGATAAGACGCCAGGATTCTTGGCCTCCAGAGGAGACGAATTCAATCTGGGCCAGAGACGAGGCTGGATTCCTCAGAGCTTTTGTGTAATAAAGTTTTATTAAAGTATAAAGGAGATAGAGAAAGCTTCTGACATAGGCAAGTTTTATTAAAGTATAAAGGAGATAGAGAAAGCTTCTGACATAGGCATCAGAAGGGGGCAAAAGAGTACCCCCCTCCTAGTCTTTAGCTGTAAGTTATATAGTCACTCACAGTCTGTTGAAAGGAAAGGAATGTCTTAACATTTAGAATGGTACCAAATAATTCATCCCTGGCCATAAAACGATTGACTTGAATCTTGTAGGAGGGCAGATTACCAACAAATAGTTTCATTTACATAGATTAGGGGAACAATACCTGAGTAAGTAGGTTGGACCATTTGGCGGAATTTACAGAGTCTGGGGGTAAATTAACATAGCTTTATGATAAACATTTCCATAAAAAATGTATTGGTTAACTCAAGGTTTGAGAATAGTTAGCTTCAGGTGAAACCCAGTGTCATGGAAATACAGCATTTTAAGAGAAACCTCCTTTAAAATTTGTATAGAGAAGGAAAAACATATCGCTGGTTTGTTCCCTCCTGCCGCTTAAGAGAGATAAAAATTTCTGGCACTTGCAGCCTATTTCCTCCGTTTGGAGACCCCTGGCCATCCTGGCTGTTACCCTCTCACTTCACTGTGGTTTTGCTTTGCATTTATCTGATAATGAGTGATGTTGAGCATCTTTTCATGTGTTTGTTAACCATCTGTATGTCTTCCTTGGAGAAATGTCTGTTGAGTTCTTTGGCCCATTTTTTGATTGGGTCATTTATTTTTCTGGAGTTGAGCTGGAGGAGTTGCTTGTATATTTTTGAGATTAATCCTTTGTCTGTTGCTTCGTTTGCTATTATTTTCTCCCAATCTGAGGGCTGTCTTTTCACCTTGCTTATAGTTTCCTTTGTTGTGCAAAAGCTTTTAAGTTTCATTAGGTCCCATTTGTTTATTTTTGCTTTTGTTTCTAAAATTCTGGGATGTGGGTCATAGAGGATCCTGCTGTGATTTATGTCGGAGAGTGTTTTGCCTATGTTCTCCTCTAGGAGTTTTATAGTTTCTGGTCTTACATTTAGATCTTTAATCCATTTTGAGTTTATTTTTGTGTATGGTGTTAGAAAGTGTTCTAGTTTCATTCTTTTACAGGTGGTTGACCAGTTTTCCCAGCACCACTTGTTAAAGAGATTTTGCTTTCTGCATTGTATATCTTGCCTCCTTTGTTGGAGATAAAGTGTCCATAGGTTCGTGGATTTATCTCTGGGCTTTCTATTCTATTCCATTGATCTATATTTCTGTCTTTGTGCCAGTACCACACTGTCTTGATGACTGTGGCTTTGTAGTAGAGCCTGAAGTCAGGCTGGTTGATTCCTCCTGTTCCATTCTTCTTTCTCAATATTGCTTTGGCTATTAGAGGTTTTTTTGTATTTCCATACAAATAGTGAAATTATTTGCTCTATTTCTGTGAAAAATACCGTTGGTAGCTTGATAGGGATTGCATTGAATCTATAGATTGCTTTGGGTAGTATACTCATCTTCACTATATTGATTCTTCTGATCCAAGAACATGGTATATTTCTCCATCTATTTGTGTCCTCTTTGATTTCTTTCACCAGTTCTTTATAATTTTCTATATATAGGTGTTTTGTTTATTTAGGTATATATATTCCTAAGTATTCTATTCTTTTCGTTGCAATGGTGAATAGAATTGTTTCCTTAATTTCTCTGTTTTCTCATTTTTTGTGTATAGGAATGCAAGGGATTTCTGTGTGTTGATTTTGTATCCTGTAACTGTACTATATTCGTTGATTAGTTCTGGTAATTTTCTGGTAGAGTCTTTAGGGTTTTTTATGTAGAGGATCAAGTCATCTGCAAACAGTGAGAGTTTTACTTCTTCTTTTCCAATCTGGATTCCTTTTACTTCTTTTTCAGCTCCCATTGTCATGGCCAAATCTTCCAAAATGATGTTGAATAGTAGTGGTGAGAGTGGGCACCCTTGTCTTGTTCCTGACTTTAGGGGAAAGGCTTTCAATTTTTCACCATTGAGGATAATGTTTGCTGTAGGTTTGTCATATATAGCTTTTATTATGTTGAGGTATGTTCCTTCTATTCCTGCTTTCTGGAGGATTTTTTTTTATCATAAATGGATGCTGAATTTTGTCAAAGGTTTTATCTGCATCTATTGAGATCATCATATAGTTTTTAACTTTCAATTTGTTAATGTGGTGTGTTACATTGATCGACTTGTGGATATTGAAGAATCCTTGCATTCTTGGGATAAAGCCCACTTGGTCAAGATGTATGATCTTTTTGATATGTTGTTGGATTATGTTTGCTAAAATTTTGTTAAGGATTTTTGCATCTATGTTCATCAGTGCTATTGGCCTGTAGTTTTCTTTTTTTGTGGCATCTTTGTCTGGTTTTGGTATTAGGGTGATGGTGGCCTTAGAAATTGTTTTATCAATAAATATAAATTAAAATGAGTCAATAGTCTAGTGGAAGCTGAGACTGTGAACAAAATCAGGATTATTTAGCTGTTAGAAATGGGTAAATGCCTGTTGGAGATAATTCTACACCATCTCTCCTGTTGTTGCACATCTCTCAGGCAGAGACACCAACTGCCCTTCAACCCACACAACTTTTTCATTTGTACAAGAAACAGCCTTGAAACATAGTAATAGTGCTCCCTGCATTTCTCTGAAACAGTAAATGCTAAGTCCAGGAAGGAAGAGAGTTCATGCAACATTCAAAGGCCAGCAAGTTGGCTGATGTGGGTGGAGTTTAGTGAGGTGGGGAGACAAGAGCTGAAGAGAAGGCCTACAGAGCCACTATGACCTTGGGTATGTATCATGTAGGTTTTTGAAAGGACTTTACTCTGAGATAAATGAGTGATATTTTTGGTTTTGAACACAATAGTTATGTGAACTGACATGTTTTTTAAAAAATCACTTTGGTTTTTATGTTGAGAAGAAAAAGATGAAAAAGGGCTGTCTTTTAGGACTCTGAAGGAATTTATTTTTAAATTTTATTTATTTATTTTTTATGGCTTATTTCTTTTTTATTTTTTTGTATTTAAATATTTTATTATCATGATCCCAGTTTATAACAGTAAAAATAGTCAACTGACCTTGATTATCTTAATCTGCCACTTATCATACATATAGCGACTCACTAGCTCTTTTACTTTTTGTTTATAACAAGCAGACTTTAAAAAATTTTAATATCTCTGAGACAATAAATGATAAAGAAATGCTTTCATCTTAGTAAAAGAAATCACTCAAAAATTAATAAAGCAGATTTTGATTTTACAAATAAATTTTGGAATTAAC